TATTTGTCTTTGTTCTTTATTTTGAACTCCTAAGTTTTTCTTTTTTTTTCTTAAAGCAGGGTTTCATTATGTAGCCTAGGGTGGCCTCCAACTCAAGATCTTCCTGCTTCAGCCTTATTGTTGAGATTACAGGTGTGCGCCACCAAGAAAGGCTATGTGTCTCTTAACTTGAGTAATTAAACTAGTGGTGATGGACAAATATGGTCTGTGGGCCAAATCTGGAAATAAGCTTTATTGGAACACAACCACTTATCTGGCCTGTACAAAGAAAAGTTGCCAATCCTTATTATGTAATGTGATTGTTGATATGGTTAGGTTTACGTCTCTCATCTTGAAGGTGTTTGGTTTTGCTACAGGGTTTCATTATGTAGCTCAGCCTGGCCTTGAACTCAAGATCTCTTACTCTAGACTCTTGAGTGCTGGTATTTAAGTGTGTTTTTAACTTGTCTCATTTGTTCATTATTTTGTTCTTTTTCTCCTTGATTGAAATTCTTCATGGCTCTGTTTTTACCTTCATATTGTCTTGTTAGCTCTGTCTCATTCTCTGTCTACTGTGATACTGTTCCATGTATCTAGCAGCATGCATCCTTTCCTGTCAGCCATTTTTCTATTTTTGGAAAGCATTTTATGCTTGTGTGTTGTAAGAGAATATTAGTTGGGTTTGTCATACATTTACTATTTCTGGTACGTTTCATTCCTTTTTTTTGTGTGTGTGTGTGTGTGAGCTGGGTACTGAACCCAGGGCTTTGCTCATGATAGGCAAACATTTAGCCACTGAGCAACATCCCCAGTCCCAATTATTTTGTGCTTACTATTATTTTGGTGGGGCTGGTGTTTGAACTCAGGGCTTTGTGCTTGGGAAGCAGTGCTTTACCACTTGAGCCACACCTCCAACAAGTTTTTTTTTTTTTTTTTTTTCTTTTTTGTGGTATTGGGGCTTGAATTCAGGGCCTCATGCTTGCTAAGCAGGTGCTCTACCACTTGAGCCACTCCACCAGCCTTCATTCCTTTATGTGGATGTAAATTTCCCTTTTGAACAATTTCCTTCTGCCTGAAAGACTTCCTTTAACTTATTTTGTAATATTGGTCTACTTCATTAATGCTCTGTGCTTTCTCTCTGAAAAAAAAGTTTATCTTTGTTTAGGAAGATACTTTTGCTAGGTATAGAATTCCAGTATTTTTTTTCCCTTCTTTATTACCTCCTGGCAGACATTTTCTCTCTGTTTTCAGCACTGGGATTATGATGTACCTTGGCTTGGTTTGCTTTGTGTTTCTTTGGCTGTGACTGCTGAACCTTTTGAATTTGAGGGCTTATTGTTTCTGTTGGGTGTGGAGAACATTGTGCCATCTTCTTTTTTTTTTTTTTTTGCTCTGTCTGCTGTCCCTGAGACTACAGTACACAATTTGCCGACTGGTATTGTCCACAGATCACTCGGGCTCATGGGGTTTCTGCAGTCTTCCTCTCTTGCTGTGTCAATGTTCCCAGGCCACCTGGGTGTGGCAGTGCACACCTGTAAACCCAACACTTGGGAGGATGAGGCTGGAAGATCATGAGTTCAAGGTCAGCTTGTACTATGTAGTGAGATCCTCTCTTAAAAAAAAGTTCCTGGGCTTCTCATTGGCGGTGTTGAATCTGTTCTTAAGCACTTGCAGTACTTAAGCATTGTGGGTACTGCATTTTCCATTCATACAAGTGCATTTGAGGTAATTTGTCTTGTTTTTCTTCTCATTGCACTCATGTTTTCTATCATTGTTTGTACTTCTGGTTTTGGGTCATGTTTTCCTACTGCTTTGGATCATTGGCAGACTTTGACTGGATCCTGGACCGTGAAATTTGAGAAACCTGGATTTTGTGGTTTCCTTTAGATATTTTGGGGCTTTGTTCTAAGACATTTTTAAAGCATTTAGGATCCTTTAGAGCCTTTTTTCTCTTGAGCTTGCTTTTAGTATGGGTCCACCATAGCCTAGATCCCTTTGCCCACTTTGAATGCAGTACCTCTGTGAGGCTCTATTCGTGTCTTGGTTCCCAGTTGTTGCTTCACCTGCCAGGTGGACTCTTGTTAGCTGTGCTGCTTCTCCTTTCTGCTGGCTGTTGCCCAGTATTTACTCATACACATGAGAACCTCTGTGCTTACAGTCTCTAGGAAACCTGTGCAAGTTTATTACAAAGCCAGTATTTCAGGGTGAATTTTTAAAATTATAATTATTCTGTTATTACTTACACAGATTAAAGGGTTTCACTGTGATGTTTCCACATGTGTACAACGTGCTTTGATCAAATCTGCCTTCTTGATGTTCCCTCTTCCCCTGATTCATTTCCATTTCCCTAATAGTCCCTCTTCTTTTTTTTTTTTTTAACGTTTCCACATAGGAGATAAAATGTGGTATTTGTCTTTCTGAGACTGGCTTATTTCACTTAACGTGACGACTTTCAGTTTCATCTATTTTCCTGAAAATAGCATGATTTCATTCTTTGTAGCTGAATAATAGTCTGTTGTATATATGTACCATAACTTCTTTATCCACACATATGTTGATGGGCACCTAGGTTGATTCCGCATGTTGACAGTTAGGATACTGCTGCAGTAAACATGGGTGTTAGCTGATAGTGGTATACTTCTGTCCTTCAGAGACACTGTCCAAATCTTCTGTTTGCCTCATCTTTGTTTGTGAGGTGCTTTTAGATTAGAAGATCTGATGAAAGGCCCAGTAGATTCAGTTGTACAGTCTGGGCTAGATTAATGTATATTATGTGATGTGCACTTCTGGAATCACATTGGAACTCATAGCATCACGTTGCTTCACCACTGTAGCGGTCATCTCCATTGTGGTCACTTTCTTCCTGCTGGCAGAAAGTGCAGCACTCAGTGTCAGCTGATAACTTGGGGTTTGTTTCTGATGGCTGGTCCTGTCACTTACGTACTATGAACAGATGTTCCTCAGAGGACCATTGGTTTCTGAACTGTAGAGCCTTTTGGAAAAGGAGCCGGAGTTTTTATCCTTTCTTTTAAGATAGCACTTTTCAAAGGAGTGAATTAGTAACTTAACCTTTTCAGATGGTGATTTATGCAATTTCTTTGGGTTTTCTGAGCACTATTATGAATTTCCCGTGATGTATGTCTCGGTTCTCTACAGCCATTGGTTCTCTTTTGATGCTCAAATGTTAAAATATTCGGGTGGCTCCTGATGGCTTCTGTCATGACTCTGGGTCCAGGGGTTTTGTGATGATGACCCATCTTGAGTTGGTGTCATGGACAGACTCTCTTAAATGTACTGCTGGCTGTTTCCCAGGGCTGTACATACCTTAAAGTCATGCCCACTGTTGACACAGTTTGCGTTTCTATGTGAAGGAATTACGCCCTATTCTTCATAGCAGAATACATGAACATCATCATAATAAATGCCCTCACAACAATCATATTCCTAGGAGCATTCCACAACCCCCTAGCCCCAGAACTATACACCATCAACTTCACCATCAAAACCCTCTGCCTCACCATATTATTCCTATGAATCCGAGCATCATATCCCCGATTCCGATATGACTGTGCAAAATTTTGTACCACTCAAGGGCAAAGTAACAGTATTTGTTTTTTCCTTCAACTTTAGAAGTGAAAAGGAGAATGTATCATGAGCCACATGAACTTGAAAATGTTACTTCTAGTAGTGGTGCTGCTTCCCACGGCTATGCACACTTTCTCCCCTCGTGACTGATGTTCATGCTTTCCCTAGTGCTCTGCTCTGCATTCCTCTTACTCAGGACCCGTCCTTCTACCACCTTCTCATCATGCTCAGGCCAGGCTAATTGGGTTGTAGCTCCCCTGCTTTATATTCCTCTACCCCTGAACTAACTTCACAGCACTTGTTGCCAGTGGGAGGCATCATTTGGTTGTGAAGTTTTTTTCCTAAGTCATCTGTGTCACCTGTGAAACTGTGAAGTTAGCATCTGTCTCATCACAGTTGAGCCTTCAAGGTCCAATAGTAAATACCTGGGGGTTGAATTAGTGTTGGTGAGAAAAGGTGAGGCAAATTACTGTGTTCCATCTCCTACCTCAGCTCATTCTTAACCCTGTCATCTGCAAGTGTGTGGATGCATCCCTGACCCTTCCTCCTTCCTCCCAGTTGTCCTACATGATCATGTGCTGTTCTTGCTCTTTCCTATCTAGGACCCACCACTTCATTATTCCTCTCATCACCTACTCCTAGGTTCTGTCACAGTCAGTGTTTCTCAAAGAGTTGCCTTATTTAGCTCATTTTCCTAGCCAGTGGTCAGGTTTTCCTAACACCCTTTTTTGTACTTTCTCACTGGAGCATGTACCTACTTTGAGTGAAAAATGACTTGCTCCATACAAGAAAAAACTGTATGCTCTAGATCTTGGTTGTAATGTCTGCCCAGAAAGATATTCAAAGGGTTAGAATAAAAACACTTTCATGCCTTAAGCCAAATGAATTGAACAATAGTGGCAAGTTCTGTTCAGGGTAAAAATTCCTTTACTTTGAAGGAGTTTTAGAATTCTTACATACATTTAGGCTTTGCTTATGTATAAAAATGTATTTAAGGGTAGGGGTATGGCTCAAGTGATAGAGGTACTGTATCAAGTTAAACTGGATCATTTCAACCATCTCCTGAGCTCTCATACTGTAGTGGGTATGGTGTCAACATTTGCTGATTGCCTTGCTTTCATTTCTTGGGCACCAAGTAATCTCAGCAGATTCCAATGAATTTTATTTATTTTTTTTGTGATGCTGGGGAGCAAACTCAGGACTTCATGCATATTAGGCAAGCACTCTACCACTGAACTACATCCTCCAGCCTACTTATTTTTTATTTCGAAAACAGGGTCTTGCTAAGTTTCCCAGGCTGACTTTAGATTTTGGGGTCCTCCTGCCTCAGCCTCTTGAGTAGCTAGAATTACAGGCATGCCACCACCATGTCCCACTATAAATATTTGTGTATCTTCTGAATTTGCATAATCTTTTTTTCTTCATTTTTTAAAAAGGATCTGAAAGACTTTGATCCAGGAGAGAAGTACTTTTATAACACATCATGGGGAGATGTTTGTCTCTGGGAATCTTCTGGAAAGAAAATGGTATGTATTTTTAATTTTCATTAGGGGTAAGGGATTTAGAATGAGGAACATAACAGGTGTTGGGGCAACTGGTGAATCATTGAGAGGAGCCACTCAGGAAGGAGGGAAGAAAGCACAGTCCAGAGTAGGTTGCCTAGGACCATTGATGCTTCTAGAGTTTTCTGCATACACATCTGGTGCAGTGATGCAGTGAAACTACTTTTTGTCCTTGGTGTAAGAAGAAGGGCCATTGATTTAATAACTGTTTTGAATAAAAAAATGGATAACATTAAGTGCATAGTCATGCAGGGTTAATGACATCCTAGTCAGTTATAGACCATGTGTGTAACAGTGGTCCTGTGAGATAATGGGGCTGAAAAATCCCTGTTGTCCAGTGATTCTGTAGTTGTCATAAGGCCTTAGCATGGTGCATTACTTAGGAGTTTGGTAATGCTGTTAAAAACAAACCTGCTGTGCAGTGGGTCTATATAATTATGCAGAGTAAATAATACTTGGTAATGGTATTAACGACTGTGGTACTTTTTTATGAGTACCTTGCTCAGTGATGGGGATATGTTCTGAGAAATGTGTCTTTAGGTGATTTCGTTGCTGTGATAACATAGAGTGTACTTACACAAACCTACATGGGACAGCCTACCGCACACCCCAGTGCAGACAGCATGGACCCAGTGCTGAAAGGTTTGCTTTAATAAAGAGGAAGCCTGTTATCTTCACATGAACATGTGTGATGAGAAAAGGCAGCAGAGTAGGCAAACCAATGTGGCACATTCCTGGAAACATCAGACGTGCCCTTGCGAGTGACCCAGAGGAGGGCATTGTCTTCTCAGGAGGGAAAGTTCCATATGAGTCACTGCCCTAAAAACTTCCCAGTGGGATGGAGTTCAGTGATCCTGAGACCCTGCATAGATCTAGACAGAAGAAGGAGAGAGAGAAGGAGGGAGGGAGGGATAGAGAGAAACCAAAAGTTAAAATAAAAAAAAGTAGATAAAAATATATGGAATAAAGATAGAAAATAATTTCATACAGATGTTCAATGTGTTTTAAGCTGTGTTATTACAAGAGTCAAAAAGTTGAATTTATAAAGTGAAAATATTACAGTAAGGTAGCCCTAACTTATTACTGAAGAAAGAAAATTTTTGTAATAAATTATGAACACTGCCTATGAGCAAGTTCAGTTTTGCAAGCTCCTTGCATGGTGAGGGCCCCTGTACAGGCATTCCTTTTTATCTTTTATATAGCATTTTTACTGTATCTTTTCTATGTGCAGATATGTTGAGATGCACAAATACTTAAATTGTGTTACGGCTGCCTGCAGAGTTCAGTAAATGCTGTATATAGGTCTATAGCACGGTGGTGTGGTAGGCTGTCCCATGTAGGTTTGGGGGGATTGGCAGAGTGGCTCAAGTGGTAGAGCACTTGCCTAGTAAATGTGAAGCCCTGAGTTCAAATCCCAGTACCATGTAGGTTTGGGTAAGTGTTTTTGGGTAAGTGTACTCTATGATGTTCTCACATCCTGGTTCCAAAAACTAAAATGAAAACCTAGACCACTGAGTTAAGGCATAATATTTCTTTTGGTTTGTTTTTGGCAGTACTGGGGTTTGAACTGAGGGCCTTGCTAGGAAAGCGCAAGGAACAACATTCCTATGAATTTTAGACCTCAAACTTGCAAGCTAAAACAAGGGGTATATTACTAAATTCTCCTTACTAAGGTGTTTTTTTCTGGGACACACCAGCTGTCATTAGCACCTTCATCAGTATCAAGCTCAATTGGTCCCAGATTTGACTTGGCTGTCCTCTCCATTCTTGAAGTTTCTAAGTCACACTGGCCTTGGGAAATTTGGCTGTAAAGCAAAGTTCTTGTAATTACTCATTGTTTTGCCAAAATTTGCCTATATACCCTCAGTCTCACTTATCAGTGAGACTATATTACCCTCTATAGTCTCTAGTCATATGCAAGATCTTTGAGACCACTATGATTTATTCTCCTACTCATGAAGCTCATGGCTTTGAAGTTTCCTCCCTTCTTCCCTTCCTTCCTTCCTCCCTCCCTTCCTCCCTCCCCTTTTTCATGGTACTTGGTTTGAACTCAGAGCTTCTTGCTTTCTAGGCAGATGCTGTACTGCTTGAGTCACACCCCAGCCCTGAAGATCTTGAATTTATGAATATCAGGCCTCATTGATTTTTCTCATCCGAGTTGTTGAAATTACCCTGTAATGTAGCATGCACTGTATATAATTACATGCTTTCTAACACAAAATATTGCTTGAATTCCTGCTGCAGAGTGTGTAATAGATTTGGAGTGCCTGCTACAGAAACATAAAAGTTAATTCCTTTCCTCATGGAGTTTTTGTTCTTTTTGGGGTGGTCAGGGGTTGTGACTATTGCTGCTGGTATTGTAGGTGCTAAGAAATTCTAGAATCTGAGTTTTGCTAACTGCCTAGAAAACAGTAACATGGTCTAAATGTGTGGATACATTTTCTGACCTGTGACCCCAGAGGAAAAACTGTGGGACTAGGAGAGAGGATGACCATAATGTATATGTACCTTATCCTGAAACCACAGCTTTTGAGAGGTGTGGGTCAGCTCTGGGTGGTGGGGGGCCATGGTCCACCTTGAGCCTTCAAGGAATTGTTGAGTTTGTCCAGTTCTTGGTGTCCTCATTTATGAAGTGACATAGGTGTTTCGTGGCTTACAAGCTTTGCAGATCTCACACCCTCATGAGACTAGAGACTTTCGTGTGCTCTTCAGTCATCCCAATTAGCAAATTTTCACTGATGGAAGCAGGCTGTGCTACTCAGTTGATCCACAGTTGTATAAATGTTCTAAGCCTCAAGCTTGTTGAATTCTTCCCAGTGAGCCTTACATTAGGCTTCTGTAGAGTCAGAGGAGGTTTGAACCTCCTCTCAGATCACACACAGCATGAGTTTTGTTACCCTTTCTCTGTGGTTGTCAGAATTTATTGGGCCCCTGCATGTGCTGAGAACTGTCTGCTTAACTCTACTGTCTAGTTATGTGGATATAAAAAGACAGTAAAGATGGGTGTGACAAGTTGAAAGTCAGATAGATAATATTGTAGGTGAGTTCCAAAAGTTTTAAAAATTGGGGTAAAAATGATAGTGGAATTAAGAGAATTGAGAAAGAATGGAGAGAAAATAACACTCTCTTGTAAAAAATTAACTGAGTTTATTTCTGCGGATTCAGTTAATTCAAAGTTTAGGACCAGGTACTGAGATTTAGATTTTCAAATGTTTAAGAAAAAAGAATACTCCTTGGGACCTGTGAAATTTATATGAAATTGGAGTTAGTACCGTAGAGTGTTTTATTGGAACATACCTGTACCTGGACAATGCTTGCTATTTACTGGTCCTTGTACACTCATGACAGTGGTGGTGGTGCTGAGGCTGAGTGGTGGCCGCAGGGACTTTACCCACAGCCACCAGCCTAAAGTATATGGAGAAAGTTCCTGAACGATCCTAGCTTGGAGAGCATTTTGCTCCTTAGGGATGATGATGTCAGAGTGCAGTGCCCAGAAGAGGAGGAGTGCTGCTTATGTGCCCTGCAGAAGGGGAGCCTCTGGTAGCTTCTTACTCTGCCTAAGATTTCTTTTCTTTTAACAGAGGTACAGAACAAAGCCATACTGTTGTAGCCTCTGCAAGTACTCGACAAAGGTGCTTACTTCGCTCAAAAATCATTTGCATCGTTACCATGAAGATGAGGCTGACCAGGAGCTGGTGATACCCTGCCCCAACTGCACATTTGCCTCTCAGCCTAAGGTGGTGGGGAAGCACTTCAGGATGTTCCATGCGCCTGTCCGCAAAGTCCAGAACTACACAGTGAACATTCTGGGTGAAACGAAATCATCTAGGAGTGATGTGATAAGCTTCACATGTTTAAAATGTAACTTTTCGAACACTTTGTACTACAGTATGAAAAAGCATGTGCTGGTAGCCCATTTTCATTACTTAATTAACTCCTACTTTGGCCTGAGAACTGAGGAAACTGGGGAGCAACCGAAAATGAGTGACACTATTTCTGTGGGCAAGACCCCGCCATCTGATAGATATTACTGTAAGAAGTGCAGCGCCAATGCCAGCAGTCAGGATGCTCTGATGTACCATATTCTGACATCTGATGTGCACAGGGACTTGGAGAATAAGCTGAGGTCTGTGATTTCAGAACACATCAAGAGGACTGGGCTTCTGAAGCAAATGCATATTGCTCCAAAACCAATGGCCCGCTTGGCCATACCGCCAAACAGCAGTGCTCCAGGCATTGCAGCCCCACCACCTTGCTTCCGCCTCGCCTTGCCACAGAACAATCAAAATCCAGCAACAGTGCAGCCGGTGACTGTGACTCCGGGGACTTCGGGGAGCCTTACCCATTCCCCACCTGCTATTGCCCAGTCCCACGTGGCTCTGGTCTCCAGCCCTCTGCCTGTGTGCCAGAGCAGCCTCACTCTGCAGCCCTCAGCTCCCCCGCCTGTTATTCTGTCTCATGGGGTTCCACTTAACCAGCCTGTGAACTCTCCTGTGCTGCCCCTGAGTCAGCCAGCTGGGCCTGGGAATAAGTCTGTTGGAGCCAGTGTCCGCCCCGTGAATCAGGCCATCCGACCTGGGGTTTTACCTCTCACTCAGCCCATTGGACCCATAAGCAGACCCGTGGGACCCATAAACAGACCTGTGGGACCCATAAGCAGACCTGTGGGACCCACGAATAGACCTGTGGGGCCCAGTGTCCTGCCTGCTGGTTCCACTGTCAACCCTGGGGTTCTGCAGGCCACTTCACCAGGGGTGATTTCAGTGGGTCGGGCAGTCCCTTCAGGGGTCCTTCCTGCAGGCCAGATGACTCCTGCTGGGGTGATTCCTGGACAGACAGCAACTTCTGGGGTCCTCCCCACTGGCCAGGTGGTACAATCAGGGGTTCTCCCTGTTGGCCAGACGGCCCCATCACGGGTTCTCCCCCCTGGCCAGACAGTGCCCTTGAGGGTTCTCCCTGCAGGCCAAGTGGTCCCATCTGGGCTGCTTTCTCCCAACCAGACGGTCCCCTCAGGTGTCGTCCCTGTGAACCAGGGTGTGAGCTCTGGTGTTCTTCAGCTCAGTCAACCTGTCACATCCGGAGTCCTTCCTGTGGGCCCACCTGTCAGGCCTGGTGTGCTGCAGCTCAGTCAGTCTGTTGGCACCAACATCTTGCCTGTGAGCCAGCCAGTGAGAGCTGGAACATCACAGAATACCACCTTCCTCACATCAGGCTCCATTCTCAGGCAGCTTATCCCTACAGGGAAACAGGTGAATGGAATTCCCACCTACACACTGGCTCCCGTGTCTGTCACTCTGCCTGTGCCTCCTGGCAGTGGCCTCGCAACTGTCACACCACCCCAGGTGCCTGTCCAGTTCTTGCCCTCGGGTTCAGGCACACAGATGGCTAACTCCCTGCCCAGCCTGCCCTCCCCACAGGTGCTGGTCAGTGCTGCCCCAAGTGTGTTTGTTCAGGCTACCTCGCCTACGGCAGATGCGAATCAGGTGCTCAAACAGGCCAAACAGTGGAAAACCTGCCGGGTTTGCAATGAGCTCTTCCCTTCCAATGTCTACCAGGTTCACATGGAAGTGGCTCACAAGCAGAGTAAGTCTCAGCTTTGTCGGGATTGCAACGAGCTCTTCCCTTCCAATGTCTACCAGGTTCACATGGAAGTGGCTCACAAGCAGAGTGAGTCCCAGCTTTGTCGTGTTTGCAACAAGCTCTTCCCTTCAAATGTCTATCAGGTTCACATGGAAGTGGCTCATAAGCAGAGTGAGTCCAAAACTAGCGAGAAACTTGAGCCGGAAAAGTTAGCAGCATGTGCACCATTTCTGAAGTGGATGAGGGAGAAGACAGTGCGTTGCCTCTCCTGCAAGTGCCTGGTCTCTGAGGAGGAGTTGATGCACCACTTGCTTATGCATGGCTTGGGGTGCCTGTTTTGCCCATGCACTTTCCATGATGTCCGAGGTCTTTTGGAGCACAGCAGAACTAAACACCTTGGGAGTAAGAGGCTGTCTGTGGATTACAGTAACAGAGGTTTCCAGTTGGATCTGGATGCTAACGGCAACCTGCTATTCCCCCATCTCGATTTCATCACCATACTGCCAAGGGAGAAGCTGGGGGAGCGGGAGGTCTACCTGGCCATCCTTGCTGGGATACACTCCAAGTCACTGGTTCCTGTGTATGTTAAAGTCAGGCCTCAGCCCGAGGTTGTACCCAAGATCTCTAGCAAACAGAAGCTGACCTGCCCTTTCTGTTTTGGCACATTCGTGGCAGCTGACGCCTACGAACTGCACCTGAAGGAGAGGCACCATGTCATGCCTACAGTCCACACAATGCTGAGGTCTCCAGCCTTCAAGTGCATCCACTGCTGTGGAGTCTACACTGGAAACATGACTCTGGGAGCTATTGCTGTCCATTTACTGCGTTGTAGAAGTGCTCCCAAGGACAGCAGCTCAGACCTGCAAGTCCAGCCAGGTTTTATTGAGAGCAGTGAACTGTTGTTAGTCAATGGGGAAGTGATTCCTGATTCCACTTTACCTGTAAAGAGAAAGCTGCCTGATGGCCATGTGGAGGCTGAAGACCAGAGAGATGGTGAGGAGCACCCAATTGTCCTAAATGCTGATGCAACCCCAGATGCAGAGAAAGGGACAGTTGCTGTGCCTTTGAAGAGACAAAGGAATGAAAGCCGGACAGAGGGACTGGTAGCCAATGATGACTCACTTCAGGTTTTAGCATTAGATCCTAAAAAGTATGAAGGCCGTTCATATGAGGAAAAGAAACAGTTTCTTAGAGATTATTTCCATAAGAGACCGTATCCTAGTAGAAAAGAAATGGAACTCTTGACTTCACTTTTGTGGGTGTGGAAAATTGATGTGGCTTCATTTTTTGGAAAAAGAAGGTATATTTGCATGAAAGCAATAAAAACCCAGAAGCCCTCTGTACTTCTAGGCTTTGATATGTCTGAACTTAAAAATGTTAAACACAGATTAAACTTTGAGTATGAGCCACAAAACCTGTGAAAAAGTAAGTCTAAAGTCCTAGGCAGTGTTTCCGGCTGACTTGGACGCCCTCCTGTGCTCTGTTGGTGTGTCAGTGTCTGCGGCTCTGCAGGGGTTCCAGGTGCTCAGAACGACTTCTGTTGAAGCAGATAGTTCTCCAGATTTACCATTTCTGACAGTTCGATTTGTAACAGTTATTCTTGTTTTTTTTGCTGTCATGTTTGTAAACTAAATTTTTTGGTATTCCATGCACGCCTTGTTTTCCCAGTAGTATCAGTATCGAATCTTAAACCTGATATCTACAAATACTTGTTTTTTTCATTTTTGGAAATTTCTGCTTGTTTGAGAATACCTGATTAATTGAAAATAAGAGCATTGTTCTCCCTCAGCTTTATAGGCAGTAGTTAATAGCACAGCACGTGTTTAGAGAAGTGAGCACTGTGGTGTGTGACTCCCTAAGGACACACTTGTAAGCATTAACTTTTACTAATTCTGTGAATGCTATTTGCTTATGAGATTATAATTTTTGTTTTCACTTTTGCATTTACAGGTTGCCCGACAGCTTTTTTTTTTTAAACCATAACTCACAGAAAACCAAATGTTTTCATTTATTAAAAATATCCCAACCCTGAGGTCTGGTGTGCTGCTCATAATCAAACGTTATTTTATAAATAAAGTCTTTAAGGGAGCAGAAATACTTTCCAGTGTAGACTTTCTCTTTTGATATGGTGACAAGTCATTTCTCCAACTCAAAGGTAAGACAGTAAATCTTTAGTGCCTTTAGAGTAAACATTGAGTAAACATACCTAGAACTCTTCTTACCTGAACTCATAAATTAGCAAGATGAAAGGACCATGACACTAAGACATGGAATTTCTGCACCTGCATGAAATGGAGCTCAGCTTTCAGGCAGAGGGTGAAGGTGTGGGCCAAGAGCCACCATCTTGATGGTTGGACTAGTTTGGGATAGGCATGGTAAAGGTGGAGAAATGGGCTTTCCAGTGGACCAGCTGTACAGATAAATGGGATGAGGGATTGCTGAAGCATCCCCATCATATCACTGTCAACCTTGTTTTTTTCCACACAATATAAAGTGCCAGAACTAGTAATGTGGATGCCAGCTTAGACTGGAGTCATCCTGTTGGGATACAGGTATCTGGAAGATGTGAAGGCTCTGGGAAGTACAACAATGCTACTATATGGATTTTAAAAAATATAACACTTGCATGCAACTGCTGTAGTGTGCTTTTCTAGGCAGTTGTGAAACTGATTTGTGACTATGGTGTGCTCTGTTGTAAGTTCAGAGAGTTTGTTGGACTTTTTTTTTTTTTAACCTATTTTCAGAGTGTCTATTTTGAATTAAAATTTGTTACACTTCTGCAAATAGAATTGCTTAATTTTTTTTAACATGAAAGTACTACCATGAGCCAGGTGGTGTCTGCCTGTGCTTCCAGCTACTTGGGAGGCTGAGGCTGGAGGATCACTTAGGCCCAGGAGTTTGAGGCCAGCCTGAGCAACACAGTAAGACTCCAGCTCATAAAACAAATTACTGTGAGTCATGAGAACGCAAGCATGGATGTAGATACCATAATTTTTTTCCCAAAAGATCATCACTTGTCAGTTATGAAAATAGGACAGCATAACCCAAAAGGGCTAATTAATTAACCAGAATCACAGAATAGGTGTGGTTTGTGTTAGTCTGTTTTGTTTTTATTACGGTAACAAAGTAGTCAAAATTGAGTAACTTCATAAAGAAAAGATAATTACTATTTTGGTTCATGATTTTGGAGGGCCAAGATGCAGAGGCTGTGTTTGTGATGGCTTCTTGATGGCAGAGTCCTGAAGCAGCACATGGCATCATGAGGGAGCATGTGTCTCCTGTGGGCTCTTGCAAAGCCACCAGGGTTCAATTGTGGGCTCCACCCTAATGACCTTATCTAATCCTAGTCTAAGGTCCTGTCTAAACACCACTGTCATACAGTTTCTACTTTCTATATTCCGTTTTCTGAGATGATCTCACTAAATAGCCTAGACTGGTCTGGAACGTGTGCTCCTCCCCTGCCTCCACCTCCCAAGTGCTGTGATTACAGGCATGTACCACTATGCCTATTTTCCACCTTCAGTGCCTCACAGTGGGATTCAGTTTGGACAAGTGAGCCCTTGGTGGACACTCAGGTCATAGCATCATAGCATGGCTAGAGGTACTTGATGTCATAATTGTAGTCCCTAAAGTACCAAAGAAGACGAGTAACTGGGATGTCTGTGTCATGAGGTTTGTTTTACTCTGGCCATGCTCCATTAGTGTTGATATAGCAGAAGCAGTCTGCTGTCCGACCTGATTTTAATCCTTGCCTGCCCTGCTTTGTGCCCACCTCTGTGCCACTGAAGTCCCAGGCCAGATGGTTCTTTGCTGTGGGTGACTGTCTTGCATTGTCGGGGATTGTGAGCATCCTTGTCCTCCATACCCTTGAGGCCAGTAGGAACCATTCACCCACCTCACCCCAGCTGTGTTCATCAAAACTGTCACTGCCAGTGGCCCCTGCTGGGGCAGAAAGCTCCAAGGAGAATCACGGTGATGAAGGCATTTGTGGGGAGCGGATTATGAGAAGCCTATGAGAACTTGACGTTAGCACAGTTGTGCTCAGTGATCTACAGGCTGAGTTTGGCATGGCCCCAGCCACAGAAGAGGGTGAAGGCAAAGTGCAGCACAGCTGCTTTTCCTAAGTTAAAGTTTTAAGATCAGCGTAGTAGACAGCAGGTTTCTCTTGTTACAGTGTCACTCCCCTCCCTGAGAATTGTTGCTCCACCTCCTTGTTTACCACTGTATATAAGAAGGAGGATTGATTGGGATTGGTTGGTTGGCTGGTTGAGAGAAGCAGAAGCTATTGACGGGAGGTTTGCTGAGGGGACTGCCACTGAGTAACGCAGCTGGCTGCTGCTGCTGCTGCTGAGTTATGCTAGAGATTAGAGGAAACATGGACAGTGCAAGTCTGAGTACTGAGACTTTAAGAAAGCTAAAGAGAGAACATGGAACACTGCAAGTTTGAGGACCAAGACTTTGAAAGGGAACATAGGACAGTGCAAGTCTGAGCACCAAGACTTTAAGAATGCTAGAGAGAAAATGTGATAGCGAGTCTAAGGAAAGAGACTTTAAAGAATAAAAAAGAAGAAAGACTTTAGAAGTAAGGTTTTAAAGAATAGAGGAAAGAAGCAAAGTAAAAACAGTTAATAGAGAAAGCAAGCATTAAGGCTGTTGTACATTACCATCTGAGTGCCCAGCGCACCTGACCCCAGCTTTGTCTTCTATCTTTTGTCCTTTCTACATCTCCAGTCGCCCCCAGTTAGGTCGGGAGAACAGAGCTCGAGAAAGCTCTCGAGGCATTCTGATTTCTGTATTTTAGATGTGGCACAACTTTCAATGCTTTATCTTTGTTATGTTGATTGCTGTTTATTAAACTATTTTTTAGTGGTAGAGATCAAAATTGGATAAAAGTTGAGCTTCAGAAAGCACATGGAGTTCTTGCCAACGTAAATTTGCTTACAGTGTCTTCAGTATGTTCTGCCCTTTATCAATCTAGTCCTAAAAAGTGGAACTCTCCCATTTTCCACATAGGAAATTGAGATGTAGAGGAGGTGAGTAATTTACCCAAGTTAGAGTGCTCCTGGGTTGGGCAAAGGTGGGCTTATGTATCTAATTGACATGCTGCGGCTGCTATACATCTTACCCTGTAGGCCTCACAGTAATCTTAACTGTGTACCTGTGTCTTACAGATGCAGAAGCGGAGGCTCAGGTAGATGACCAGGCTGTTCTGATCTGCTCAGGACTTGGATTTCTCTGGACTTTCAGTGCTAAAACTGGAAAGTCTCAGGCAAAGAGGGACAAGTTTGTCACTTGGAAATGAGGCAGTGCTGTCTTTAGACTTGTTATATAGCCCTTTCGGTATTGAGATGTCCTTTTCTGGCTGATAACAATATCCAGTTGAAGGTGGTTGCCAGCGTGCTTACTGCATTTCAGGCACCGTTCTAAATACTGGGTAATAAACCCAATAGTGACATTTTTTTGATGAGTAAGGGGGAGTCCCGGTTGAGACAGACAGTAATATGTATACAACTTTGTTATTTGTGTGTGTAATGATGTCTCCTGTGACTTGGTCCCTGCTGAAATTTGTTATTGGGTAAAACTTCCATCCATGAGGTACTGCTAGATGTGTTTGTAGCTTTCAGATTTTAAACTGAATTTCATTCCCTTATTGGTCATTATACTTCTGGTTTTCTTAAGTGGAGAAGTCAGTATTGGCCTTTTGTGCTCCTAATCACATGGGTTACTTTGTGGCATACCTACTAATTTAGGCCTCTGCAACTTAACTTTTCTGTTACAAAAATACTGAATCCCAGCTTCAGGGCTATTCTAATTCTTGATAATTTGTCCTAATTATTACTCAGTCTTTAATAAAACTACAAGTTTAAACATTTTACCAACACAGATGATAAAGGACCTAGATTGAAAGGGAAGTGCAGCAAATGTGCTGCAAGAGCACATGGCTCCCTTAATAGTGTGCCAGAGGGTCTTAATTTGTGATTGTGATCCACTTGAGTAAAAAGTGAAAAGGAGTGACTTAGAGATTGAAAAAGTGATGAAATCTATAATAGTATCAGGTTTTTCACTACAGCAAAATGAGAATTTACTTATACTGGTAACCTCAAAGACCTATGCAAATAACCCCAAACCAGGGCACTACTTTCTAGTAAAAACTGAAAGTAAAAACAGGCTCTAAAAACTGGAGCCTGTTGTATCTGAAAGGGACCTTTTAGCCCACTGTATGGTCAGGTTGAAAACAAACACTAATAGCAGTCATTCATGGAAATGACTTGGCTGTACACTTTGAGAGGAAAAATTCACATAGCACTAATCAAATAGGAGCTAAGGCTAGTTTTCACTGCCTTTAAAATAATTTGGTTCCCAGATCACTTTTTTCTTTATTACACTCATAAAATCATGAGCAGTGTGATTGTTTTTTATTTTTTGATGCTAGGTATTGAACCCAGGGCCCCACACATAACTAAGGACATGTTCTACTGAGCTATACCCTCCAACCCTGTTTATTTTTTTTTAGGAAGAAAATGCATAGTCCTTTTCAGAAGGGGAACTTTCCAACAAGGATTTAAAATCTTATTTAAATTACAAGCCAAACTTTAGCAACCATATTGACATGTACATTATGTACTTTTCTTCACAGTTCCAAATACAAATTCAGAATTACTTAACATGAATCACTTTTCCTTCAGATAATGTGGAGTTTCTCTTAGTTTACAACTCCTGACTTAGAGAGTTTAATGTAATGTTAAACAATTTACCATTTACATAAAAGTAAGCTTGAAAAAATTGAGTAACTCAGCAGTGAGTAATAAGGCTATTTAACGATTCAGTCTTTTTCTTCAGATACTCTTTCTTTTGTTCCTTGTTTGTTTTGGGTGGTATTGAGGCTTTGAACTCAGGCAGGCGCTCCACCACTTGAGCTAATCCGCCAGCAGATATTCTTTCTCTATACATGAATGGTGGATTCCTAAGATCCGCTAAAAC